CTGTGAATGGAGTGTGTTGATCAAAGTCAATCCATAAACCTCAACAGATGTTATAATGTGGATCAACTAGTGTCACTGGTCATGGCCATTGATATCCGGGGAATGATAACCGAGCACCATTGCAAGTTTAACACGTTCTCGCCTTGTCCACCAATCCCATTACACACAAATTAATTGGCGATTTCATTCAGGTCAGCTAGGGACTCCGTGGCTATTTCCTTTCACATGACTAATCGTTTATTCATTTGCTTATTCACTCTAAATAACATCACATAACACAGCCGGGAAACTTAATCAGAGATATACACAACATTGAGCTTCGTGCACCTAGGGAAAGCGAGAAAGTCAAGAGTCTGGGGAGCGGCGACGCCTAACACCCTCCTCCTATAACAGCTGCACCGCTACTGAGTCTTCTCACCTCTCTCCACCGTCAATAAACCTCCACCAGCCCGCAGCACCCTGCCTCCGCCCCCGTTGTTGTTGTGTTGATTTAGGGGCGACGACGATCGTGGGATCGGATGCGCCCCGGCTGCCCGATACCGGGAAATAGCGAAGGGATGGGGCCCCTATAGTCTCTTCAGGCCATAGACCCTACAATCTCCTCAGGCGACAAATTTTACAGTCTCTTCAGGCCGCGGACATGACGGATGAAGCGGAAGGTATGGCGAAGGATGTCATGACGGACGTCTTCGTCTCTCGCACCTGCCCCGTCAAGGAGAACGGGAACTGTGAGGCGGGGAATATTCAGCCTACGAACGGAACTCTGTAGTCTGACGCGAGCGCTATGAAATCGAGGGCAGTGAAGTAGAAGGTGCTCCACTGTATCCTCCTGGGTCGGACACCACTGGCAATATGGGGAATCTACCAGCCGTAGACGATGGAGATGTGCGGCCAGGCAAGTGTGCCCAATCCGGAGACGAGTGATGGCAGTGTCGAGGAGTCGAGAATGATGACGAGTCCATGGACGCGGGGAGGAATCCTCCCGTAGACCCGCCAAAGAGGAGGACCTGAGTGCTGGCTCCATCATTGCCTCCCAACTCACGAGGCAAGCCGCCCGGAGTTGCGGGAGAATTTCGGAAAGGTCTAGAGGCACATTTGTAGAGTCATGGAGAGCATGCGCCATCCCTGCTGCTGCGTCGGCTACCTCATTGCCTTTAATACCGACATGTGACGGAACCCATTGGAGATAGATGGACCAACCTGGAGTAACAGAGTATGACAGCAGTTCTCCACGGATCTGTGACACAGTATGACGATGGACTCGTGGACGCCGAGATGATATCAGATGTAGGGCTGTGATTGAGTCCACGTAGAAAACCACTGCAGAGGGCCCTGAAACTTGTCGAAGGAGTCGTAAGGCTAGTAAGATTGCAAACAATTCCCCGGCCAGGCACGAATGAGCAGGGGAGAGTTTCCACGTCTGACAGAAAGAAAAAGGAGCAAAGTATGCTGCCGCAGATGTAGATGGTGGCTGATCTTTGCGGGACCCATCCGTGTAAACCTCTAAGTATCCAGAGTATAAGGAGGCTCGTAGGTCTGCAAAAATTAAAGGGGCCAAACCCTCTAAATCTCTCTTCCGACGAGGAGGCTTGGAAAAGTCGACAGAAACTCGAATGATCTCTTCTGCCCACGGAGGCACCGGTGAGATGATCGGGCCGGGGGTGAGTACAGGGACGGGAAGGGAAAACTGTGAATATGCATCCAAGGCCCGGACGACGAAAGGCAATTGACGGCGTCTGGAGTGTCCAGCCGGCACATTCCACCAGTTAGCCTCGAGCTGGAGGCGAGTAAGTGGATGGGTAGCAGGGAGACGCACTATCCGTTGAAGTTGGCGGCAGTGGGCGAGAAGACGTTGAAAGCTCAGGGGCCATAGCCCCGACTCGGCATGAAGAGAAAGAACTGGCGAGGAGGGCATAGCTCCTAACGCTGAGCGAAGGGCACCATTTTGAATGGGATCCAGCCTTGCCAAGACAGATGCTGCTGCTGAGCCATAGACTTCACTCGCATACATGATCTTGCTACGAATGAAGGCCTTGTAGAGAGCTAGGAGCGACTCCCGTGAAGCCCCCCAAGCCGCACCAGAGACCCGTTTCATGATGTTCACGCGACGAAGGCATGAGGCCCGAAGGTAGTCGACATGGTGCCTCCACGTCAGCCGAGGGCCATCTAGAACGACCCCCAGCCACCTGTGTTCGGTAGCGATCGGGAGACGACAGCCCCCGAGGGTCACCACTGGCTGGTCTGGTAGGCGGGTCCAGGTGAAGCTCATGACGCAACTTTTCACAGGGTTAATGGAGAGCCCCTTCCCCAGCACAATTGCTGAGAACACAGTCACGGCATTTTGCAGGGAGCCTTGTGCCTCTAGGAGAGTGTCACCATCCGCCACGAGGGTTACGTCATCGGCATAGGCTAAAACCTGGACCCCCCGGAATACAGGGAGATCAGACAGAAGAATAGAGAATAGTAGTGGGCTCAGAATCGCTCCCTGAGGGACACCACGCGAGACAGGGCGGGACGTAGAGACGACTCCACCAACCGCCACTTTGAATGAGCGGCCCTGTAGATAGTTTTGGAACCACCTTAACGCCGGACCCGAGAGACCTAGTCGAGCCAGACTCTGAAGGACAGCAGAATGAGAAGCAGAGTCAAATGCACTCTTGATATCGAAGAATGCTGCAAGGAGCACTCTTCTCCGTCGATAAGTGTCCATTATTCGATGTTCCAAGGAGAGGAGGCAGTCCATCGTGCTTCTTCCCGGCCGAAATCCACTGATACCCTCAGGTAGGAGACCTGAGGTTTCCACCACCCATTGTAGCCGGGTGTGAACAAGACGTTCCATCAGTTTCCCGAGACATGGAAGCAAACTTATGGGCCGATATGAAGTCGGGACAGACGGATCCTTCCCTGACTTGGCCAATGGTAGAAGAATGGCGTGTTTCCAAGGGGCAGGGAAGACACCAGAGGACCAGCAGGCGTTGTAGAAGTAAAGGAGGTGGGACTGAAAGCTCTTGGGTGCCCTCCGAACAAATTCATATGGGACGTTGTCTATCCCTGGCATAGTGCCCGACTTAGAGAGTGACAGAGCGTCCTTCAGCTCAACAGATGTAAATGGGCGATCCAGGTCCTGAGCTAGTCCTATACCCTGTCGGGAGCCCCAACCTATGGAACTCACAGAGAGGAGCGGGGAACGGTAAACATCTTCAAAGTGGTCAGCCAAGAGTTCGGCTATTTGTACTTCCCCTAGGCCCCCATTACCACTGGGGTCTCTGAGTGGGATGGTAGGCCGGGAGTACCTACCTGTCATCTTACGAACAAAGGCCCAGGCTCCCGCAGAGGAGGAGTCGAATCGGAGAGAGGCACAGTAATTAGCCCAGGCCTTGCGTTTGGCAAGGAGGACTGTTTGTCTACACCTGGCGTCCGCCCTGCGGAAGGTCTGCCGCTGCAGTGGAGTAGGGTGGCGCCGCCACGAATTCCACGCACGTCGCCGGTCCAGTACTGCCTGCCGACATTCAGGAGTCCACCACGGTGCCCCACGGCGGGAAGGATTGGTTGTCTGGCCACTAGTCCTCCTGAAATGCCGAGAGCCTACACTGAAGAGGGACTCGGAGAGAGCATCTGCTGACCCATGGAGATCTGCAGTAACTGGGGGAAGGGTCAACCAGTCATCCGCCTCATAGCCATGCCACCCCTCTTCCGAGAAGATCCATTTGGATCTACGGGAGGTCAGAGCAGGACGAACAGTGCCCCCGAAGGAGATGACGATGGGCAGGTGATCACTACCCAGGTACGGCCCGGTCCATATCTGCGCCATCGTGAAGGGGCCTCTTCCAATGCAAAGATCGAGTGTTGAAGTATGGCCATTTAGCGGGTCTATCCGAGTTCCCAAACCTGGCGGCGTCAGTAAGGAGAGGTCTGGGGAGTCAAGGAGAAACTGAAATAGGGCTCGGCCAGCCATGTTGTGGTGGCGACCCGATAGCATGGGTTGCCATGATGAGTGCCGAGCGTTAAAGTCACCCATGACGAGGCAGGTGTCTGTGATCTGACCAAAATAGTGTTCTAGTTCCTTCTTCGTTACCGGTAGACAGGGGTTATACAGAACTCCAAAGGTGCCCCACCCATGGGAGAGGGCGACCTTCACTGCCAAGAATTCTAAATGTCCACCCGGGAAGGAGTGAATCCGGAGCAAGGAGCTGGGAACTGAGTCCCTGACCAAGAGGGCAAGTCCCCCTCCACCCCGTACTGGCCGATCTTGTCTATAGACAGAATACCCCGGCACTGTGAAGGAAAGATCGTCTGTAAGCCAAGTCTCACAGAGTCCCACGATCAACGGTGGTGCGCTGGCGATAAAATTGCGTAAAAATTGCGTCTTCTTAAAAAGGGAGCGGGCATTCCAAAACACCACAGTATTCTCAGGATGGGGCGCCATTATCCCTGAAATACAACAGCTAACTTTTTGACCACCAGTGCACAGACGTCTCCAAAGGGGGAACCACTAGAAAAAGCCATAAAACCTTCATACAAAGTAAGTAAAATATGTGGTATCAATGACTTCCAGTCAAGAGGATGTTGATCTATGTTTCTCTCTGCCTGACGGAAGCGGTGGTCGGCTCGCGAACTCTCTTGACGGCGTCTGCGACTGGTGGGAGCCTCACTCTGGGCCTCATGTTCCCCCGGTGTCACAATCCCTTCGGAAAGTGCCTGGGGGACCAGAGGATCATCAGGGCTGTCTGTTGGAGCAGTACCTCCTGATCGATGGGTGTGTCGACGACGCCGGTGTTGGCTTCTTTGAGGAAAGGCAGGAGGGTGACGAGTGCTAGGCTCCGGCCGAGACTGAGCGTCCATGTCTGTATCCGTGGATGAGTTTCCGTCAGTGTCAAGGCTACCCAGGAGGGAAAATCGATTAGCAACCTGGGCGTATGTGGCATGTGACTGGGACAGGCAAGAGCGTCTGCTAGTTCCTACTTGTGAAGAGGCCCGACCAGGGGGAACCTGGAGGCGAGAAGAAGCGATAGGCTGATTGAGGGTACGCAACTTCTGGAACAGCTCATGTCGAGGTGTCCCCGCTGTTTTGTGATCGATGTCCAACTGGAGGGCCTCAAGATATACAGGGCAACTCTTAGACGTAACCTTATGATGGCCATGGCATAAAAAGCAGCGGGGTGCAGCAGAGCACCCACCGTCATCTCTGTCTGAATGGCCAGTTTTGCCGCAGTTTGCACACCGTGCTGTATTACGGCAGGTCAGGCGACTGTGGCCCAATAGATGACAAGCGTAACATCGTAAAACAGGGAAATTGTAGGGCTGAACCTGATACGAGGTCCTGTGTAGTGCCACTCGGTCAGGGAGGTGCCCATCGAACTTTACACGGACCATGGATGTCGGCCCTGC